TGAAAGGTCACAAAAGGCCTTCTTGGATGTACTTCCCTACTTTCTGCGGCTCTGCATAATTATGTCACAAGAAAAGGTTTTTTTTTTTTTAATAAAGATGTCCAAGATAGAACAGCCCGGTGTAGTGGCTCCTACCTTTAGCTCCAGCACTTGGGAGGCAGAGGCAGGAGGATCTCTGTGAGTTCATGGGTAGTCGGCCTACATAGTTCCAGGAGAGCCAAGGCCGGAGAGAGGCTGGGGGTGGGGCCGTGAGACAGGGAATAGAACGCCTGTGTAAAATCACAGTGGCCCCAGCAGCAGAGTGGAGCTTGAAGGGACTTTGGGGTGATCATGTGTCAGGAGAAGGCTTCACGGTGTCTTAGAGCAGGAAGTAGAGACACCTGGGGGTTGCTGCTGGGGGTCAAAGGTGAGCATTATGACAAACAATTATCTTAACTTCTCTATTGGCATTTTGGAGGCTTCTCTTTGTCAACAAAATAATGTTCTGGAGGCTGGGGAGGTTGCTCAGTTGGGAAAGTGCTTTCTGTACAAGTCTGTCCACAGAGGCTGTAAAAGTGTCATTGAATCTCCAGGAGCTGGAGTTACAGACAGTTGTGAGTCACCTGATGTGGGTGTTGGGAACTGAGATCCGGTCCTTTAGTAGAGCAGCAGGTGCTTATAACCCAAGAGCCATCTCGTATGCATGTATGTATGCATTTTTATTATAGCCATGCCTACTCTTCCCCAAAACCCCTCCCAGGCCCCCCACCACAGCTCTCTCCCAATTTTTATGTCCCCCCTTTCTTTCTAGCCCACCGAGTCTAGTCAGGGCTGGCTGTATGTGCAAGGCTGTATGCCACCCACTGGAGCAGGGGCAACCTGGCAGGGGCCACACCCTTGAAGAAAACAAACTTTCCTTCCTCCAGAAGCTCCTCAGATAGGGGTGGAGCTCCTCAGACAGGGGCAACCAGGCAGAGGCCACACTCATGAAGAAAACGGACTTTTCTCCAGAATCTTTCCATTTCCGGGCTGCTCAGATAAGGGTGGAGCTTTGAGCCCTTCCCCCATCCATACAGAAGTGTTCCCTGGCCTAATCCTGTGCCATGCAGGCAGCTACAGCTACTGTAAGGTCATGAGAGCTGCTGTCCTGCCAAGTCTAGAAGACACTGTTTCAGCCCAGTCCCCCCCCAACCTCTGGCTCTCACAGTCTTTCCACCCCTTCTTCCCAATGCTCCCAAGCCTTAGTGGGAGGGTGTGAAAGAGGTTTAGGGCTGAGTGCTCCACCCACACTGTCTTATTCTTTGCACTTTGAGCAGTTTTGAGTCTCTGTAGTAACTGCTGCCCATTACACAAAGCTCCTCCAATGAGGGAGGAGAGGCACACCCATCTGAGGAGAGTTTGAAGGGCTTAGCTCGGGGCTGCACTGGGGTTAAAGGACACAGTTGATCTTTTCAAAGGAGAAAGAAGAAGTTCTCAGACTGAGAGAGGTGTAGAAACTGCGTATCATATGAGCAGAGAGGTAATGGCTGAGGGTTTGGGTGTGGGAGGTCTAGACAGGCCCCGAGTTCACAAGAGCTGCAGACATTAAGATGGAAGTGCGAGAGGAAACAGACAAGTAGAAGTTCAGAATTCAGGAAATGTGGCAGCATCTATTCTCACACACAGGGCTTGTGGAAGAACCCTCTCTTGGGCTCAAATGTCCCACCAACCCTAGTTCATGGCAAAGGATCTGGCTTGGTGGTTCTGTGTAACAAGAGCTCCTAGCACTTGACACGCTTCGGAGATCAAAGCCAGTTGTGTGTGATAGCTTCGCCATACCCACCATATCCATGTGGTGTGTGTGTGTGTGTGTGTGTGTGTGTGTGTGTGTGTAATTTTTATTTCTCGGTCATGCCTCACATAATCTGGCACAGGTTGGGGGTACAGCTAAGTTGGCGAACTACTTGCCACACAAGTATAATGATCTAAGTTTGACATCCAGAACCCATGAAAAAGCCAGGTGTGGTGGCATTTTCTTGTAATCCCAATTCCAGGGAAACAGAGGCAGGCAGGTTCCTGGGGTTCACCAGCCAGCCATAAGCAAGTTCCAGGCCCTGTCTCAAAAAGGGTGTGGACATCTTCAGTAGTCTTCTGATCTCTGTATACATACACTCACACGCACGTGCACTGCCTACTACACACACACACACACACACACACACACACACACACCCCTACAGCAAAAACAACAACAACAAAAAAAAACTGGACAGGGCACACTGAGTGCAGAACAGGTGATCATTAGAGACTCATTACTAGAAAGACAAGGCAGTGAGTGTGAGACTGAGAACCCATCATGGCAGAGAAAGAGGAAGATGCATATATTTCAAAGTCAAACTACAATGAGATATCATGACGCATCTATGAGAATGGAAAGAGAGGAAGAGGACAGACAAATACAGAGAGAGATGCTTTCAGGGAAGGGATATTTCAAAAGTTTGTGAAGCTCACATCTGAATGTTTCTGGAGTTTACAGTTAAAACTCCACGTGGTATTTCTGAATAGTTAAAAAAAAATCAATAAAACCTATTGAGGTAATACAGGTTTATAAACCTAGTGCTCAGGAGGATAAAGTTTGAAGGTCATGAAGGCCCTGTATCAAAAAGAAAAATGTCTTATCAAGCATGTTATCAATCAGGAGACAGAAGCATTTCATAATTCAAGTTGTGCAGCAGTAGAAAAAAATAAGTGGCGATACGAGGGTGTAGCTCAGTTGGTGAAGTATCTGCCTGGCAAGCAAGAAGCCCTGGGTTCCAGTCCTAGCACCACACACACTGGTTGCGGTGTTGCATGACTGTAATTCCAGTACTTGAGAGGTAGAGCAGGAGGATGAGAAGTTCAAGGTCACCCTAGGGAGTTCAAAGTCAATTCAGATGATGTGAGACCCTATGTAACAAGAAAGAGGAGGGGGAGGAATGAATAAGAACATACCACTACAAACATTTTTCTGTGGTTTTGTTTGAAAAGTGCAGGTTAAAATTTGATGACAGAGCTGGGCAGTGGTGGTGCATTTCTTCAATCCCAGGACTGGGGGAGGCAGAGGCAGGTGGATCTCTGTGAGTTCGAGGCCAGCCTGGTCTACAAAGCGAGTCCAGGAAGACTATGCAGAGAAACCCTACTCTCTCCACCTGTCCCACTTACACTGGGCAACCTCAACTATAGGCTAGTGTGCTCAACCTCTATGTATCCTTCCAGCTTTCCCACCAGCCTCTGGATAGGGCTCAAAGACTTCCATCCCTCCTTCAACCCCACTGAGCATTCCTCCCAGTTCTGACGGACAGCATGAGCTTTTTAGAACATCTTTATGCGTCTGACCTAGACGTGTGTCACCCCTCCCCTACCACCCTCTGTCTCATTCTGGACCTAGCTGCTTCCATTCTTTCAACTTTAGAAGGGACATTAGTTTTGATCTCGGGCACCACCCCAGGTTGCATCCATGGTGTCCTGTGAACTTCTCAGCCTCAGCCACTGGTAGATTGTTTAGAAAAGCCAGCTGAGGCAGGGCTTGCCCTACCCACCCTGAGGATGTTTTCCTGACTAACAATCCCATTCATCAAGTGTCTTCTGTCTGTTCCCGGGGTGATATCTGGAAGGTAGTGCTGAATATAGTTGGTCAGCTGAATTTTCTAGAACAGTGTATCTTAAAGAATCCAGGGCGTAAGTGTGTAAGATTAGTCAGTGAAGTGCTTGCCTAGCAAGCATAAGGACTTGAGTTTGATCCCCAGAATCCATCTTAAAAAACCAAAAAGCCAGACATAGGGGCAGCAGAGATGGTTCAATGGTTAACAGCACTTACAGCACTATCAGAGAACCTGAGTTTGGATTCCATCACCCACATCAGGTGGCTCACGACCCCCTTTTACTCCAGCTGACCACTGTGATGGATGATTCCCATATTCTAGAACAGGAAATCAGAGCTGTCCAGTGACAAACAAGTCCACCCTTGACTTTAGATGTTACAAATTCCTGTAGATGTAAAAGATACCTCAGTTATGCAATGCTGAGAGATCATTTAAAGCATTGTTAGAGGGCCAGTGAAATAGTAAGGCCACTTAATGCCAAGCCTGACCAGTTGAGTTCTATCCCAAAACTTCACAGGGTAGAAGCAGAGGGCTGACTCAAGTTTTTCTCTGACTTCCACTCATGCATCTTGGCACATTCTTCTTTCTCTCTCTCTCTCTCTCTCACACACACACACACACAAACACACACACACAAATATGTAATAAAAAATTCAAATATTTGAAAGTTGTGTTTCAGCTGAGTCGAACTAACGAGGAAGCCAGAGAAGCTAGAGCGTGTCTTAGATAACAGTAGAAGAAACTGCTCCCAGGTCAACACACTGGCTATTGCAGAAGCCCCTTAAGGGGTATTAAAGGGTGTCTACCCAAATATATAGACGGCTTTGATTTCAGCGCTAACGATTTTCCTTTTGAATCAAAGCTTCACAGCCCAGGTGAGCCCGTATTTGCCAAAAAGCCAACGGTAGCTTGGAGCTCCTCATCTGTCTGCCTCTACCTACCCAGAGCAGAGACTACAGGCACGCATCAGCTGTTTATGCTGGGCTGGGGATCGAACTCAGGGCTTCCTGAATTAGGTAAGCCCTCTACCGTGCGGACTGCATCTCAGACCCTGTGGGATGTCACACCATTTGACTTGTATCGTCATCTCAATACACACCACAGTGTGTCCTCACAAGTTGCTCATTAAGAAGGGGCATTTCCTTACTAAGTGCTGGCATTTATACAAGATGAAATGTATAAATATAACTTTTAAAAAGGACCAGGCTTTTAGCAAAAGTCCACTGAAGGACCCAGCATCTGGTCAACGTTCATAAATTTCAGAAGGATGCAGTCTAGCTAGTACGAGTCAGGTGGGAAATGCACAGGACACAAGCCTACACCTCCTATGGTCTTGTCTCATCTTCCCACCAACAGAACCTAAGTTTCTGTGCGATCGCATTACTAGGGAGTAGTACTTACCATTGATTTCAAAGGTCTCCATCACAGGAATCATGTCTTGGTCAAAATAGGCTCCTTCTTCAGTGCTCCCCAAGAAGGCTTCCTCCTTGATGGTTTCTTTATTTCTCATTGCTAAGCTTTATAGGTGGTCAAGGCCCTGCAGCCAGCAGAAGTGCTCCCCCAAGAGGAAGCAGGGCTCCCACTTAACTGTGGCAGCTGGCTGGAGACCCACACAACTTCCCTTTGGCAAGGATTCTTTAATTTGCACAATGTTTCCTGACTATTGCGACCAGGCTGTTCCTTAGTGTATAGTTGATTTTTGCTTAAAGAAAAAAAAAGGCTGTTTACATGTGGAACTGTTGTGTGGGAAAGCTGCCTCTTAAGAGGAATTGAAGAGATTTGGGAAAGACCCTCCTTGTCCCCAGGCCCCTAGGTGACACCGAAAGGGATATTTCTCTTCCTTCTTTCTGCTTTCCAATCCCTGCATCCATCCAGATCCAGCTTGCTACCCCAGGATTTCGCCAGCCCACACTGAAATCTTCCTCTCACCCTCTTCAGGCCGAGTTCATCCTTAGGCTTAATAGGGCCCGAGTCAGCGTGAGGAACACGGCTTGGAAGCCCAGCTTCTACTCACACAAACAGAATCCAAACCTAAGGTCTCTGTGTGATTTGCAGCTTATTAAAGTTTAAGAAGTAGGCTGGAGGGTGCCCCCTGAGGGGGGAGCAGCCTTACCAGGCCACAGAGGAAGACAATGCAGCCAGTCCTGATGAGACCTAACAGACTAGGATCAGAAGGAAGGAAAAGAAACCCTTCCCTACCAGTGGACTTAGGGAGGGGAGTGTGTGGAGAAGGGGGAAGAAGGGAGGGATTGGAAGGGGAGGAGGGAGGGACCTAGAGGGGGGATACAAAGTAAATAAAGTGTAATTAAAAATAATTTTTAAAAAACTGGAAAAAAAAAGAAGTAGGCTGGAAAAATTAAAGTGCCCACTGGGCAAGCATGAGGGCATGGATTCTGATCTGCAGACACTACTGAGACACTATCTGCAGACACTACAAAAACAACAACAATAAAAGCCAGGTGTGATGGCAACGCCAGTCACCACAAAGAGGGGGAGACATAGACAGGTGCTCCTCGAGCTTCCTGGTCAGCAGTGAACTCCAGGGTCAATGAGGGGTGTGTGTGTGTGTGTGTGTGTGTGTGAGAGAGAGAGAGAGAGAGAGAGAGAGACAGAGAGAGAGAGAGAGAGAGAGAGATTCTATTTAAACAGTACTGCTTTAAACAGTAAGATGGAGGCCAGATAGGTGGCTCAGCAGGTAAAGGCCCTTGTAGCCAAGCCTGCAAACTTGAATTTGATTCCTAGGATACACACGGTGAGAAGAGAGAACTGACTCCCACAAATTATCCTCTGGCTTCCACACACATGTCCGCACACCACCACACACATGTGCGCACACACATACACATACACAACTCCGTGAAAACGCTTTTAGGATCACTTTGGAGGTACCTTTCTGCAGCACACCAGTGAGGTCTTTGTCCAGGCTTCTCAGGAAGCACTCACATGTGTGTGTGCACATGCATGTGTGTTCACCCTTGCACATGTGTGTGCTTGTGTGCCTGTGAACTCTGTGTGTGCGCATGCGTGCATATATCTGTGTGTTTGCGTGAATGTGTGTGTGTGTGCATGCAAGTTCACTGCAGCTCAGTGAGATGTAGGCTCATTCCTCTTGACTGAGATGCAGATGAAGCAGTGCAATGTTTGCTGTAAATCCCCCCTGGTCCTCGGGCAGCTGAGGGACTTCGATAGCCACTCTCGCTGTGCCGACCTCCACCTTACATTTGCATAATAAGAGAGACACTGATAACTGTTGCATTACTGAATAAAATTGCCAAGCTCCAGGCTGGGCAGTAAGGACACTCTCTTGCAGGTAGAGACAGCTGCTCTGGTGAAGATGTTGGCTACTTTGCTTACAGTATCTCCTTCTACACTGCCTCATGAGTATCAGGACCTACGTTCACATGAAAAGTGCCCAGAGGCCACATAAAAATCTGGGTGTCGCTGTGTGCCCTCGGGTACCAGCGCTAGGCAACAGAGACAGGTGGATCCCCGAAGCTCATTAGCCAGTCAGACAGGTCCCGCGGTGAGCACCAGGCCTGGTGTCAAAGAACAAGATGAATAGTGTCTGAGGGACAACAGCCGTCCTTTGCCTCTGAACACACATGTATACCCATGCACATTAAGGTAGTTGGACACATTAGGGTAGTAGTAGGAAAGGCCTGGGTCTCGTGGAGCAAGCAGCCAGCTGGCAGTTCTAACTAGAAGCTGGGGCAGCCAGTGGAGGGCGGGGAGGGCAGAGGCTGGGGCCTCTCCTCCACGTTCAGCCCACTTCTTCTGCCATTTGTCTCAGGCCATCAACAGAGCAGGTCAGACTTGGTTGATTAACATAGATAGGAAATACATGTCTGAAACTTCTGCCTCGGGTCCAAGGATGTGGCTCTGCTGGTGGAGAGAAGCCTAACACACATGAAGCCCTGGGGTCCATCTGCAGTAGGGCATAATATTGAGTATGCTGGTGCGTGCCTGCAATGCTGATGCTCTCAAGGTAGAGGCAGAAGGACCAGAAATTCAAAGTCATTCTGGATACACAGTGAGTTTTAGGCCACCCAGATAACATGAGATCCTAACTTTAAATAATAATATATGTAACATATAATAATAATAATAATAATAATAATAATAATAATAATAATAATAATGAGACCAGCAACATAGACAAGCATGGACAGTGAGTACACTGACTTTCATCTGCATCCAAACACTACTGGTCATGCCACAGGTTCAACCCCAACAAGGATATGTCTCCAAATCCATCATGTTCTGTGAAAGGAGCTAGAACTACAAAGGGACATAGGCTATGATTCCACTGAAAGGGTTCCAGAACAAGTGAAACGTGTTTCCGGTCTCTGAAAACAGTCCTGCTTTTGGGGGAATGTTGGGTGCACAAAGAGAATGTCTGACGTGCTAGAAATATTCTGTATGATTAAAATGTCAGTTTCGAAACACACCGAACTTTATGCTTGAAAGGTGCATTTTTATAGTATGCAGATTTGACCTTGAAAGTTACTTAAAACAGAAATTGAAAGAAAGATGCTGGAATCATTGTTGCTACACTAATACAGCTGAAGCTTGTCTTGGGACATGGGTATGGGGAGTGATGGGTGGGCCTTGCAATCCCAGGGCACCCTGCCTGTTGTCTCAGGTTACAGACCATCACAGTACGAAGTCAAAGCCCCACACACAGGGGAGCAGGGTCAGGGCTGCAGCTGTGCTCTGAGAGCAGAAGAAGGGACAGAGAAGCTACCACCCAGTTCTATCCCTCCTGGTTCGCTCCCAGGACTGCTCTCAGCCAACAGTCACAGGGCTCCTTGAACATCGGTATTCACAACAGCTGAGTTACACAATCAACCTGAGCTTCCAGCACAGAGGGATGGATGAGGGGAATGCGGTTTGTTTGTCCAGTGGAGTTTGTTCAGCCAGGAAGAGTGGAGCCATGCCTCTTACAGACAAACGGGTGAAACCAGACATGATTTTATTAAGTGAAGTAAGACAGCCTCAGAAAGGCAAATATAAGATCTTCTTTCCCCATTTGTGGCTCCCAGATTCTATAGCGATACATAACATTGTATATGTATGTATGCATGACATGAACAGAGCTGTGCAACTGCCAAGGGCACAGAGGACTCAATCCACAAAGGAGGCTAAAGGAGGGCGAAGGTGTGAAAGCGAAGAGGAAGGGTACCAGGGGAATATGCCCAACATGAAATAACATGTGCTTGTATAAGGATTTTTAAATTTTATAAAATTTAAATTAAAAAAGAAGACTTTGACAGGTCTCTGCTGAGAGTCAGCCCACACAGAGCTTCCAACTAGGGCTGACAGAGGGCAAGGCCACTATGATGGTTCTATTAACTTGACCTGACCTGGAGTCACTGGGGAAGAGAATTCAATGAGGACTCATCCAGATCTGCTTGGCCTATGGTAGGTCTGTGGGGGATTATTTAGACAGTTGATTGACTGACTCAGTCCACTGTGGGTGGCACCATTCTCTAGGCAGGGATCCCGGACTGTGCAAATGCAGAGAGGGGTAGCTGATTACAAGTAAACACGTATGTACTCTTTACCTCTCTGTTTTTGACTGTGGATGTGACGTGACTGGGTGCTTCAAAGTTCTGCTTTAACTTCTCTACAAGGCCAGGCTGTAACCTAAAACTGTAAGTCAAGCTTTCTCCCTTAGGTTGCTTTTTCTCAGAGTATTTTATCACAGCAGCAGCAATGAAAGCGGAATTGTCAGGAAGGTACTTCCTCCCTCTCTGACTTGGAGACACACATTCTCCTGAGCCTGCACACCACACTTTGTGTTCCTGGAACTCTTGATGTCTTCATGGGTAGCCAAACTCTTCACTGCACCACTTAGAAAAGGGGATGTCAGAACACATTCTTGTCTATGAGAGAGTAAAACGAGACACCGACATGTCATTCCATGAGCGATATTGACCCTTCCCTGGAGCAGGTTTATGGAATTGTAGGAAACACAGGGTGGAAAATGGTAGCCACCAGTTACGTAGACTCTCACAGCCCCTTATCACCTATCATCTTCTCTATTTGTGTGTGTCATATGGGAGCCAGACGACAGCTTTAGGTTGCTCCTCACTTACCCTCCACCTGATTTCTGAGATGACATCTCTCGGTAGCTTGCAGCTTATCAAGTAGCAAGGCTGGCCGAACAGCAAGCCCAAGGATCTGCCAGTCTCCACCTCTCACTGCCATGCCTATTTTATTTATATGTGTGCACGTGCGGTCTGTACATATGTGTAGCGGCTGGAGGTCAACCTTTTGTGTTTTCTGCTCTTGCTTTTTATCCTATCTTTTGAGACAGGGTCTCTCACTGGCCCTAGGACTTACCAACTACCTACACTGGCTGGCCAGTGAACAGTGGCTTTCTGCCTGGCTCCGCTCCCCACACAATACTAAGGTTACAGACATGTAGGACTACAGCCAGTTTTTATGTGAGTGCTGGGGACCCAAACTCAGGTCCTCATGCACTCCCAGCAGGCCCTTTACCAACTGAACCATCTCACCAGTCCCTGGCTTTAAAACAAAATGCAA